GGCCCTGCGGCGCGGCCCTGCGGCGCGGCCCTGCGGCGCGGCCCTGCCTGCGACGTCAGGGGCTGGGCCCGGAAATGTGTGGGATGGCCATGGATGGACGTGGATGAACTTCTAGGTCCTAGGAACAATCCTGGGAAGCAGGAAAGGGATGATAGCGGAGGGTGGACATATATGGAAATGGATCGAGAATGAGATGCTAAATACTCAGACAGTGCCTTGTGGCGCTGATTCGCTGATGGCATCATAGTTGATTTGACTTGTTTGGGAGATCCTCTCATAATATAGATTCCCTGCAGTTCCACTTAAATCCTTCTAAGGTTCAGTGTTTGTTGCAACTTTGAAGATACATGAAATTACCCTTGTGAAGATGGACTTTCGGAAGAAAAGGGAGCGGCTTCAGGCTTCTTGGAAGGACCCTCAAACATGACTTACACATATTTATAGTGTATTGTTTGAGCTGCGGGAAACTGTTTCGCCCATGGACATGACCCTGTTGCGCATCACTACGCTCTATGGTTCCACATCAAAGACATGTCCTGAATGTCCTCAACCCGTCAACTGAAAGCCTGTTTTTAACGGAGAACGTGGACTGTATATAGATGTTATATACACGATCTTACTCCAGCGTGGCATCTTGTTTGTCCACAGTATCGACCCACGCTAGCCTTGCAATCTGAAGATCAAATGCCATATCCATGAATGGTAGATATGGAGTTGCTATAACTCGTTGCCATTGGTTACTATTGGTGATCGTTTAACAACCGACAACTCTCCTTGTTGCCTGCATTGAGAAAGGAACCAATACTTGGCTTAGACTGGGACCAATCGTCTGGGATGATTCCACAATGTTGCTTAAGTAGCTGCAGTCACTGGTCCCTCAAGTTTATACAGTCACACCTGTGGATGACACAAGTCTTGACTTCCGCAGCTCTCTATTCTGGTGGCAGTTCACTGTTTTCTTGCTCGACTGCCCAAAAAAGTTGACAGGAGTGGCAAGACACCAAGAAATACTTGGAGGCGAATCCCGAGGAAGCCAGAAGGACAGCCGTCCAAACCGGCCTCATCTGATGCTGTGTCTTCAAGCGATTCATTCACTACGAACTCACAAGTGTGAATTTCAGCTGTTGTAGCCAGGGTGTATTGCGTACAGTTGATGCACCGTCGCTGCTGTTTCGGCTGAACAGGGCCCTTGAGCTGATTCGCTACTGCGAAAAGGAACTGTGCGAGATTCAAACTGGTAGCGGAGCAGGTTCTGAAGGGGCACCCTCAGGATCTGACTCACCCGGGGAGACTCGCTGGATCCAACCGTTGAACCCAATTGCGTGACCCTGCGCGCAATCCGTCGAACCGTTGTAATTCCAGTGCTTTGCGAAACTTGTTGAGTTGCGATGTCGCTGGCTGGCCTGCGGTACACATCCCATGGAGGAAGTATCTCAGGACCACAGGAGACGAAGAGCGGATCATACATCTACAGTGGCAATCCAAATGGTTTCTTCGAATGGGAATTTCGCACCAAGGTCCGCGTTGCTTTGCACAAGCAGAAGCATGCGAAGAAGAAATCAGAGAAGACCTATTCGAGCCATGGAAGCCAATCAGCCACACCAGAACGTTCTCAGAGGAGGCCGACTCATGCGACCGAAGCTGGGGATGTATCAGAGGATGACGAGGTACGATTTGAAGCTTTTGGAACCCCGAAGTCCGAGAGCGTGGCAGGAGAAGAAGAACCAGCTCTGAGCACTGCCGGACTGGATGATGATGGAGCAGAGTATGCAACACTTGTTCACAAGGTGTTGGAAGGTCTGCGAGGTGATGCATACCTCACGGCTCAAGACATGGGATTGGAGAAGTTGTTGACTCCAACTGGCATCGATGAGTTGATTTCGCGTATCCGTGCACAAGTTTTTCCACTTCGACAACAAGAAGCACGAGAGTTGTTCAGAGTGGGTCAACTCCCACATGGTCCCTTGTCTCGCCAAACGACAGAAAGCATGACTAGCTACATTTCACGAAGACGTCGTTGGTGGAGGAAGCTTTTGGAGATGGATGATGGGGTAAGTCTTTCAGACCCCATGCGTGGTGAGCTACTTCTGGAAGGTTCTGGCTTGAGCAAGACAGAACAGCTCATGATCAAGACAGCTGCAGGCGACAACCAATCCTTTGACGTCTACGCCAAGTTCTTGCTTGAATTCCATGGACAAATTCACTTGCGCAGCTGGTCCGCTTTTGGTAACACGAGCCCTCGGAGGCAGAAAGGCGGAGGCAAGTTTTCAGGCAAGTCTTCCTACAAAGGAGGAAAAGGGCGCAGTTGGCAAAGATCTGCGTACATTGTTGAAGATGACTCTTGGGACTATGAAGATTCCTATGAAGCAGAAGCAGAGGACGACTATGAGCATGAAGCTTATGTCGCAGCAGAAGATGAAGAACCAGATGATGAAGAACATGAAGACTATATCGAAGACCCTGAAGTTGCCACAGCGTTGATGGCAATGGGAGAATGTGATGATGAAGAGAACGATGTCTCAGAGGAACTGGGCAGCGCAGCCCAGCATCAAATGATGGCCTTTGTCGTGACTGACCAGTTGAAGGGCAAAAGCAAAGGCAAAGGTAAAGGTTCAGGAAAGAAAGGTGGAAAGAGCAAGGGGAAAGGCAAGTATGTGTTCAAGACACAGTTGAGCGTGCAGGACAGGATTGCACGTCTAGCAAGGTTGTGGAGGAAAAGGACATTGGGCAGGAGACCCAGCTTGCAAGTTCCCCAAGCAGAACGACAAGTCCCCTGGAGGAACGTCGTCGACGAGTAAAGCCAC